TAACATGCCACAGGGGCAGCAAGACACCAGGCCTCTTGCAGCCAAGAGGTGGATGAGTTTGGGAAGCCTCCATCGAGCTTGTAGTTAATTAGCATAGGAGCCTGTTCTAAATTGTAGCAAAGCCACATACCACGAAAGAAAATGTTGCTCATTCCGTCACCATCTTCTCCTAATCGTTAGTGCACTCAAGTACTTGTGCTGTTGTTTGAGTGCTTACCATTTGGGTAGGCTGGACAGGTTTTTCATTGCCTGGCTGCAGGGAGTAGAGCCTTTGTAGTCTGTCTTTGGCTGGAAGCTCCACTGATAGCCTGGGTAACCTAGCTGGGATGTGAAATCCTGGGAGCATAGCTTCCAGCATCACAGCAACATGTTAGCCACCACAGTAGGACAAACAGACAGATGGGAATCGAGTTTAGAAATAATCCTTCATGAAATACGGGACACAGAACAGAGCCAGTTGGTATGTGGGCTGGGAGCAAAGGGCACAGGGCTTGGCTACCACTTTCCAGCCAGCCAATCCCTGGCGCCTGGATGTCCTCATGCTTGTTTGTGCTAGTTCCATCACACTCCGTTCCCACCGAGTTTGCACTTCATTGAAATCCTCATGATGTCTTCATTCCAGGTGCTAGTAAGCCATGTGTTCTCCATCCTGCATAGGAGCAGTTAACTTCTCTTCACTTTCCAACGGGCCTGGATGAGCGAGCCTTAAAGGGCGAGTGTGCATGCGTGCAGGTGCAGGCACGTATGCGTTATGATGACGCAGTACAGAAAACCAGTACTCATTGACGGAATAGAAATGGATAGCAGTTTTCGTAAAGACAACATTTTGTTGTGTTGTGCATAGGGTCATAGTAAGTCAGAGCTGACTGAGCAGCAGCAGACAACACTGAAGAGAGTGCGAAGCTAGGCATGTCCAGTATCATTTAACAGACTGGAGAGCAGAGCTTTGGGAGGAAGCTGCTGAGAATGAGGGACTTAGGACAACTAAAGTAGTTTTTCTTTTAAAGTGGTAATCATGAACTATTTGAAGAGCTGCCTGAAAGAGAAAGTCGGACTCTTCTTCAGTTGCCCCTGAAGATATATAGACATTTGACGTCCATGGAAATCTAAGACATGGAATTTTTGACTGAGTCCCAGGAAGACCACTTTTCATAATTGAGGCTGGTGAATATGGAAAACTGGTTATATTCCAAGTATTTGAGGTAACTAAAGGGCCATCTTTCAGTGTGCTATGGAGGACACTGCTGTGCTGAGGAGGAAACTGGATAGCTTCTCAGGCCACTTCCAGTTCTGAGGTACATTATGATTTATTGATTCTGTGGTACATGGTAGGGGAATTATCCCTTGAAATAAAAGCTGAGAGAAAACAGGCCTGCACCATCTAAGAAGAGCAATAGAATTGCCACACACACAGCAAACCCTCTCTCATTTGGCTGTACTCATATGAAGGAGCCCCCCCCCCAGCTCATCCTGGTGCCCAGCCCACTTCTTATGAGTGTTGGAAGAGGAAATGCGGCCACTTCGGCCACTGGACGCCAGGGAAAAGAGAAGGGATTGGTGTGAGGGAACTCAGTCAGGCTCACAGAGCACGCCCAGCTTCAGAAATGACTGTATCTTCTAGGCCCAGCCATTTATTGTTGCCTGAATTGGGTTCATAAGTAAGCTTGCTCCGTAGGTTAGTTCCTCCCTGTGTTTTAGCAAACACCCAGAGGTTTAGCCCCTGGACTGGAGAACTACTTGTACTAAGAGCCTCGAGCCTCCAGCTTGGCTCAGTTGGGGAACTGGAATAGGTTGACATATTCAAGCAACCTTGTATTCTCCTACAAAGCCCATTAAATTGCTTCGACCTCGTTTGTTCATTCGTTCGTTTTCTCTCTCGCTTGCTTGCGGTACGGAGGCAACCTAAATTCTGCAGACTACAACAGGCCCTTGAGTGGGACCCAAGGTGCCCCTGTGCTAGTGGCCTTTGTTTTCCCGTTGAAAGTTGGTTACAGTTAAAGTTGTCAGCAACTGGTCAGCTATCAGGCACAGTTGCTCGTATACCTGCAGAGAGGAAGTGCTCGGGTTCAGTGAAAGCTCTCTAATCCCAGCCTGTGATTCAGGCAGGGTCCACTGACGTGACCTCTGCAGCAGTTGGCTGTAGGGGGAAGAGTGTGCATTGTGGAGTCAGCACACCCGGGTTCTTTCAGAAAGGGCTACTCTTCTAGGCGTCTCGTGCCACCTAGGAGCTGTGACGCCTGGGCAGGCCAATCTCTGGGCCTCAGTTGCCTCACTTGTGAAATGGAAATTATCACCTGTGTAAAAGCATATGCACCAAGTGCTAGTTCCTGCCCCTTTTCTTCCCCTGCTTTGGGAAAACCACTCCTCATAAACTCCCAGGACTCAGTCACGAAAGCACCCTTGTGTATTTTTATAAGCAGTAGTTTGGTGATGGATACTAGCACAACTTGACATGTACTGGGGAATTGTTTACAAATAGCGGTTGCTAATTTCTAAAATTCTCATAGGCTCTTGCAGCCAGCCTTATGCTTTGTAGTACACAACTGCATTATGACAATGGTGTTGAGTTCTTCCTGAGAAGTTTTAAGTGATCTATTGAAAGGGTGGGCTTCATTTTGTTTGTTCATTATTTTGAATGTGGCTGGCAATTTGGATACCAGCTCAAAACCACGAGTCACTCTACAGGAGAAAGACGGGTTTCTCTTCCCCGTCTCAGAAACCCCCAGGGACAGTCTTACCCTGTCCTTTTGGGTCGAGACGAGTCAAAATTGGCTCAACAGCAGTGACTTTAGTTGGCAATGTTACCATGGACGCTGGGTTGCACAAGTGGCTTGTGATTGGCTGCTGACTAAGGTTGGTGGTTTGATCTTTCCCATCAGCTCAGCAGAATGCCTGGGGAGCTGCTTTCATCTGCCTCACAGCAAAGAAAACCTGTGGGGTGATTCGATCTTCCTAATGTGTGGGCTTGCCCCGAGTTGGGCCAGCTGTGCAGCCGTGAACAACAGCCATCATCATACTTGCTCAGTTTTCAAATAGATAAAAATAAATGTTTCTGAAACTGGGTCATACCATCCATAGATAATACATTTCCCAAGAAGCATGGAGCCCTTTCTCTTTCCCCCCAAAAGCTGAGATTAAGGTCTGCCTTCAGTAGTGTCTTAGGAGGGTTGGAAGTACTTACAAGCGTGGTTATCTCCGCTAATTTTCTCGGGCATTGTGTCCAAGAACTAAGCAATAACCTAGGCAAGGAATGATTTGGATGTAGGCCTGGCTGTCTGTGATTATGATCCATGTCTACTCCTTATGATTCCCCTTAAGCGAACAAAAATCACCCTGTCTCCTTTCTCAAAGGTTAGGGCACATTTGCAGCAGTTGTGTTATTTCAGTAGGAGGGTTATATTTATTTATGTATAAGGAACCCTGGTGGCATAGTGGTTACGCTTTGGGCTGTGCACCACAGGGTCAGCAGTTTGAAACCACCAGCAGCTCCTTGGGAGAAAAGCTAGACTTTCTACTCCCATCAACAGTTACAGTGTTGGAAATCCACAGGGGGTATCACTGTGAGTCAGCACTGGCTCGATGACAGTGAGTTTGGAGCTTGGTTTGGGGTTACACGGCAGGCCTCATTAGTGTGGGTACTTTCTAGCGTCTAGATCAGAACTGAAGGTGTGGTGATCGCCAGCATCAAATATCCATAAGCTCCGACAGAAGCCTAGTGCTAACTGAGTGGAGGTTTTTTGTGGCAGTGAGAGTGGCTAGCAGCCACGTCAGTGAATGATCGTCCTGAGCAGCTGATGGTTCAGGAACCTTTTCATCCTCAGCGCATTTCCCAGGTCCTCTGAAGAAAGAACAGTTAAAAGTGAGCCAACTTCCCTCTAAGGGGTTATGAAAACGGCTACGTTTCTCTTTCCCCAGAAAGTCTCAAGTACACCGATCCTGTAGAGTGGGAATGTGTGCAAGACCACAGCTGCATCTAGCACAGTTCAACACACAGACCGGTGGTGGCCATGACTTTTCCTAGGAAAGCCAGGCCCCTTAGATGTCACACAGTATGGAGATTGAGACTGGCGAGTGTTTTGTAATGCCATTCTTTTTTCCCCTATAGATCTTGAGACCTTGTGTCGAGGTGTTTGTTTTACAATTTGATTAAGTCATTTCAGCCAGGCCATTTAGAGGTTCCTTTTTCAGAACATTGCTGGATACACACGATCTACAGTGCTTCTGGTGCCTGTGTGTTCCTTGATAGCAGAATTGTAGCCGGTGATTTACTCATGACATTGTCAAAGTTTCCTTGGGGATCTATAAATTTACAAATCGACCCAGTACTACAGACAGTATGGAAAGACTTTCAGGGCATCGCTGCCATCAGCACTTCTCAGA